GGTCCAACTCACAACCACCCACACTCACTCATTTTTTTTTTTTTTTTTTTTTTTTTTTTCAACAAGTCGGCCGTCTCCCACCGAGGCAGGGTGACCCAAAAAAGAAAGAAAATCCCCAAAAAGAAAATACTTTCATCATCATTCAACACTTTCACCACACTCGCACATTATCACTGTTTTTGCAGAGGTGCTCAGAATACAACAGTCTAGAAGCATACACATATAAAGATACACAACATATCCCTCCAAACTGCCAATATCCCAAACCCCTCCTTTAAAGTGCAGGCATTGTACTTCCCATTTCCAGGACTCAAGTCCGACTATATTTATCTAACCTATTTTTACTTTTCTCTTAAAATGGGAGTGTTACTGCGACATGGCATCAGTGAATCCCTGGTGTTTGCCATGCTATTTGCTCTAGCTGGCGCTCAATTGAACTGGTGCTCCCACAAGGCACTAAGTGCTCCCAGATTTTTTAATAGTGCACACACTGAGTGCACAGACCCATTCTTTCATGTCTAGGCGACTCGAGCCTATTGTGCCAAATTTGAAGGAATGAAAAATAAAACGTTGATCTACGTTTGGAGCACTATGTGTGCAAACGTAGATCAACATTTGGACAGTTTAAGGGTTAAAGTGCAGGCATTGTACTTCCCATTTCCAGGACTCGAGTCCGGCTAACCAGTTTTCCTGAATCCCTTCACAAAATATTATAAATAAAAAAAAAAAATTTCTTTGTTGAGGTTACAATGTGTGTTTACATATACAGTGGAACCTCCACTCACGAGTTTAATCCATTCGGTGACCTTGCTTGCATCTGGATTTGCTCGTTTGCAGAGTCAAGTTTCCTCATTTAACCCTTTCAGGGTCCAAAGGCCAAATTTCAAAGTGCGCACCAGTGTCCAAGAATTTTCAAAAAATAACTTTGTTATTTTTTTCTTATGAAATGGTAGATAATCTTTTTCTGAAGGTAATGAAACAAGAAGTATGAAATTTGATGGAAAAATTGACGAAATTATGCTCTCGCGAATTTTGACGTGTCAGCGACATTTACGCATCGGTGATCTTGACGACTTTGACTCCCATTTTAGGCCAGTTATATTATACTCAAGTCGACCAAATTCTTAGCTATTTCACTAGTACAGTATTACTTTTATTCTGTCGATTGAGCACAAGAAATCGCCAAGTCAGCTGTTTCAACTACAAAATAGAGTGATCGGAAATTACTAATTTGGCCAATTTAACCCTTTGACTGTTTCAGGCCCCTCTCTGAAACTGTCATTCTATGTCGCTCAATTTTTGAAAAAAAAAAAATTATTTTTTCTTATGAAATGATAGAGAATCTTTTCCCGATGGTAATGACACCAAAAGTTCGAAATTTGGTCGAAAACTCATGGAATTATGCTCCCACGAAGTTAGCGGTCTCGGCGACATATGCGTATCGGCGATTTCGCTGACTTTGAGCCCAATTTTCAGCCAATTTCATTGTTCTAGTTGACCAAACTCATAGCTATTTCTTTAGAACTCCATTTTATCTATCAGCTGAGTACAAGAAACCTCCCTTTTACTAATTTGGACTACCCAATATGGTGGTCAGAAATTGGCAATTTGGCCAATTTCACGCAAAATAAAAAAGATGCCAATTTCAAAATAGGGTCCAGAATAAACAAGGTAGACATTCTTGGCACTAAAATAACATATCCTCTGTTCATTAGTCACATCTCTAGGCCCCTCTTATATTATTATTGCTTTCTATTTTGATTTTTTATTCATACAAAAAAATACAAAATTTACTGTTATGCAGACGACTGCATTATTGTAAAAATGGGTATAAATAATATCAGTGCACTAGTGAAAGAATATTAGACTCCCCAGTTGACGTGTATTGGACGTGTGGTGTGATTTATGTACTCTTGAACATGGTAAAAATCGAACATTTCCGCTACTTTGAGCTCAGTTTCAAGGTCGTTTTCATCGTAAAAGTAATGAAATCATCTCTATTTCTGTAATATGTTTTCCATTTTATCACCTAAGACCATGAAAACGCGAATACAACGATAAATACTATACGAAAATACACCTCAAAGTCGGCGTTTTATTCCAAAAAAACGATCAGAGTTTTTTTTTTCTCATTACGCAATGTGTGCTGCAGGATTTTTTTTATGTGGTGCACACTGACCACACAGACCCATTCTCTCACATGTGGGCCTACCAGCTTTCTCCCACTTGATTTGAAGCCGCTAGAATTATTGAGTATATATACGTCAGAAACATTGGCTCGTAAGACGTATTTATACGTCGAAAACAGTCAAAGGGTTAATGCAAAGTTAAAAATATTCTGTTTTCCAAATAAGGTCCAGAATAAACAATGCAGGCATTCCTGGAACTAAACTAACATTTCCGCTGTTCATTAGTTACGTTTTCAGGCTTTACAAATGAATTCCATTTTGATTTTTTATTCACATAATGAATTTTTATTCAAACCAAAAAATAAAAGATTTACTGTCATGCAATACTGTAATAATTGTATAAATAATATCAGCACATTTGTGAATGTATATTAGACCCACCAGCTGGTGTGTATTAGACGTGTGGGATCATTTGTTTACTCTTGAACATTGGCAAAAATTTAACATTTCTGCTGTTTTGAGCTCAGTTTCAACCCATTTCCTTTACTAAAACCAATCAAAATCATCTCTATTTCTGTAATATATCTTCCATTCTATCAAATGAGTCCAAGAAATCGCAAATACAACTATAAAAACGTACAAAAAACACTGCAAAGTCATTGTTTTAATCGAAAATTACTGTCTCAGTTTTTTTCTCTCATTATGTACTGTGTGCTGCAGGATTTGTTTTATGTGGTGCACACGTACCACATAGATGTATTCTCTCATATCTAGGCCCAAATTTACCGCTCACAGCTTATCAGAATGAGCTGAGCTCATGGCATAGATCTACAGTATGGACCCTCAACATATAGCCGTAGATCTACGGCACAGACCCCTCAAAGGGTTAAATTAATTGAAATGCAATTAATCCATTTCATTGGAATTCTGTACTTCAATAATTTCGCTGATTTCAACTCTTCGGCTTACTTTTCTATCTCACTTCTTCTAATATTACATATTAAACAATATAAATAACATAGAAACCTGATATATACTCTAGACTGAATAACATATGTCATTCATGTAGTGGTATCGTTGGCAGTGGACGAGAGTTTGTCTGGAGACCGGACAAAGTATTCCTTGAATAATTTTGCTAATATCAAGTCTGTGGCTTATTTATCTATCACAATTCATCTATTGACATAATAAACAATATAAATAACATAGAAACCTGATATATACTCTAGAATGTATAAAACATGTCATTATGTGACAGGTGGAGGCGGCCACAACCGCTCCCACATTGTTGCGGTAATCACTGCCATCTAGTGACGGCCTTTTGAAACTGTCTATTATTATAATTTTATTGTATAGTACATTATTATTATACATGTATTATAATACATAAGAACATAAGAAAGAAGGAACGCTGCAACAGGCCTACTTACCCATGCGGAGCAGATTCATGCCTCCCCCCCCCCACCCCTCCGATTAGACCAATGGCCCCTTCCCCTGGATTAGCCCAATGATCCACCCAGTCTGGTCACCTCCACTCAAGGAAGGAGCATGGCACCAGACCCAGAAGCACAAGCTAGTCAGGTCCAACTCACCCACCCACTCCCACTCATGCATTTATCTAACCTAATTTTAAAACTACACAACGTTTTATCCTGAATAACTGTACTCGGGAGTTTGTTCCACTCATCCTCAAAGTATTATATTATATTTTTTTACTATTATTATTATTATTATTATTATTATTATTATTATTATTATTATTATTATTATTATTATTATTATTATTATTATTATTATTATTATTACTACTACAATATAAATTTGTAATTTTTATTCACACAAAAAATAGAAGATTTACTGTTATGCAGACTACTGCATTATTGTAATAATTGTATAAATAATGTCAACCCATTCTTGAACGTCGCCAAAGAATCGAACATTTCTGCTACTTTGAACTCAATTTCAAGGTACTTTTTTGTGAAACCAATCAAACTCATATCTATTTCTGGAATATATCTTCCATTCTATCAAATGAGACCAATAAAACGAGAATACAACCATAAAAACCATAGGAAAATGCGGCTAAGGGGCGGCTAATGGTAGAGAAGTGAACTCCATTATTTATGGTCCGATTTCTTTCATTTTTGGTGTACGTTAAGAAGCATCTTTCCATCATACATTCCCCAAGTTTCAATAAGATAGTCCAACAAACAAATGAGATCCAATTCCCTAGATAAAGAGCAAGATCCCCTCACCAATGTCAAGGAACCTCTTTTGAGACCCGCTCGCTAATGGAAATTTCGCTTTTGGATTTTGGAATTTCAGATAAAGGACTTTTTATACTGTATACTGAATTCTACTCCTAGCAGGTTAGTTTAGGCATTGTGTCACAGTACAGCCTAAGTAATTCATTTCAGTAGTTAAGATTCAAAAATGATAGTAAGAGTAGGCTAACTGTTGAAGTAAGATTTAATAGGTGATTTTTAAAAGATTGTTATTAAAGCTGTTTGCAGGTAGGAAACTCATGATGTAAAGAATTGAGCTTGTCCAATTGGATCAAACTTAATTCTCTCTCATTCTTGTTCCCTTCCTCAGGTGTTGTATAACTCCTATAGTTTTACTACTTTCTCCTAAATACTATAATAATAAACTGTGCTTTACCAGTGACCAGTTTTGAGAGCTTCTGTACCCCTCCTTTCTCTTTCTCAGCATAGTCTAATGCCAGGTTTCCCTGTTAACTTCTTGGTCAGCCAGACTGCCATCATAACCCAGGTGATCTGGCACATGCAGAAGTGTTAAATTTTACCTAACAGTATAGGAGCTTTGATATATTCATACGTAATGTATTCATATTTGTTTATCCTTCATTAGAATAATGATGTTTGAACACTACGCAATTCCTCGAGAGAATCTTCTGAATCGTACTGGTGATGTGTCTCCTGAAGGCATCTATAAGACACCATACAAAGACCCCAACAAGAGATTTGGTAAGTACAATATATCTTGAGGCATTAGATAAGTTTTTATTTTTATTTGTATAAATACAGTAGGATCCCGCTTTATGGCGTTCCGCTAATACAGCGATTTCAGATTATGACCAAAATTTGTTGTATATGGTGAGCGGTCTTTCAAATGTGGTGCGCTCCACCCAGTTTGTTTACATTCTCTGTGAGCACAACTCTCTATTATGTCTGGAAATTTTCCAAAATTTCAAGTGTTTTAAAGTTATTACATATTTTATATGTACAGTGGTCCCTCGATAATCGTGGTTCTCGGGAATTGTAGATTTCGGAAATCATAGGGATATTTTCGTATAAACATGGGCTCGCTAATCGTAGGTCGTCCGGGATGCATACACACGATGTGAGCCGGGGCGGCCTCCCTACCCAGCCAGTGTGGCATTGTTTACCAGTGAGCGAAGGTCCCCTCACGTGCTCCTACGAAATATTTCATAATATTCCACTCATTTTAGTGCTTGCAAGTACTAAATAAGCTACCATGGCTCCAAAGAAAGCTCCTAGTGCCAAGCCTGTGGTAAAGAAGGTGAGAAATACAATTGAATTTAAGAAAAACATCATTGAACAATATGAAAGTGGCACAACTGCGGCCAAACTGGCCAGGATGTATAAGAAACCCTACACAACCATATGTTCCATCGTGGCCAAGAAAGAGGTAATCAAGGACGCTGTTGTTGCAAAGGGGGTAAATATACTGACAAAAATGAGATCACCAGTACTCGAAGATGTTGAGAAGTTATTATTGGTGTGGATAAACGAGAAAAAATTAGCAGGAGATACTCTTATGACTTCGATTATTTGTGAAAAGGCTAGGCAGTTGCACAACGATCTGGTAAAGAAATTGCCTGCAAATAGTGGTGATGTGAGTGAATTTAAGGCTAGCAAAGGTTGGTTTGAGAGATTTAAGAACCGTACTGGCATACACAGTGTGGTAAAGCATGGTGAGGCTGCCAGTTCGGACCACAAGGCGGCTGAAAAATATGTGCATGAACTCAAGGAGTACATAGAGGCTGAAGGACTGAAACCTGAACAAGTGTTCAGTTGTGACGAAACAGGCCTCTTTTGGAAGAAAATGCCAAAGAGGACCTTCATTACACAGGAGGAAAAGGTAATGCCAGGACACAAGCCTATGAAAGACAGGCTGACGCTCATGTTCTGTGCTAATGCTAGTGGGGATTTCAAAGTGAAGCCATTACTTGTGTACCATTCTGAAAATCCCAGAGTGTTCAGGAAAAACAATGTTATGAAGAGTAAATTGTGTGTGTTTTGGAAATCTAATAGTAAGGCATGGGTCACAAGGGAAATTTTCATTGAGTGGTTCAGTGAAGTGTTTGGCCCTAGTGTGAAGAATTACCTACTGGAAAAGAAATTAGATTTCAAGTGCCTGCTAATAATGGACAATGCACCTGCTCATCCTCCAAACTTGGGTGACCTAATTTTTGAGGAGTTTGGGTTCATCACAGTAAAGTTCTTGCCCCCTAATACCACTCCTCTCCTCCAGCCCATGGACCAGCAGGTCATTGCAAATTTTAAAAAACTCTGCATCAAAGCAATGTTTCAAAGGTGCTTGACTGTGACCACAGACACTCTCTTGACCCTAAGAGAATTTTGGAGAGAACACTTCAGCATCCTCCATTGCATAACCCTTATAGGTATGGCTTGGGAGGGAGTGACTACCAGGACTTAGAACTCTGCTTGGAGAAATTTGTGGCCTGATTGTGTCGACAAGAGGGATTTTGAAGGGTTTGGGACTGACCCTGATGACCCTATGTCTGTTGTTAAATCAATTGTGGCACTGGGGAGTTCCATGGGGTTGGATGTGAGTTTGGAGGATGTGGAAGAGTTGGTGGAAGAAAACAACGAAGAGCTCACCACTGAGGAGCTGCAAGAGCTTCAGCAGGAACAGCAACAGATTGCAGCTCAGAATCTTGCTGCAGAGGAGGAGGAAGAGAGATGGAAGAAGGTACCTTCTTCAGAAATTAAAGAGATTTTTGCTATGTGGGGTAAGATTCAAAGTTTATTCTCTATAAGGATTACAATGCTGAGTTTACAGAATTTGGTTATTGTATTGTTTACATGTAGTAAAATAATAATTACAGAGTGTACCACTAGAACACCTAGCATGGCTAGGCATTTTGGGCAGACTTAAATTAAATCTTAAGTTTAAAATATTACAAAATTATGAGGTAAGTTGGTATTATGGCTAAGTGACTAAATACTAGTTTGTGAGTTTAGCAATGTGAATGCCTTTGTTTTGGCACTATACATAGTTTCAGTATTGGAGTATCACAGGCCAACTTATGACTAGTTAAGATTCATTATTTTGAGATTGAGATTGATATTTCTGTTTATGGTCAAATGGGTGAGTGAGTGTAAGTGTTAACCACCAGGTGGTATTCGTGTAATTAGTTGACAGGGTGTATCAGGGAGATAAGATGTTTTCTAACTGTAGTTTTGAAGGTGATGAATGTGTCTGCAGTTTTAGAATTTTCAGGTAGGGTGTTCCAGATTTTAGGGCCTTTGACATACATTGAATTTTTGTAAAGGTTTAGTCGGACACGGGAAATGTCATATAGATGTTTGTGTCTTGTATTGTGCCTGTGGGTTCTGTCGCAACTATCAAGAAAGCATTTTAAGTCAAGGTTAATATTGGAATTTAAGGTCCTGTAGATGTAGATTGCACAGTAGTAAGTGTGGATGTACTGAACAGGGAGTAAGTTTAGATCTATGAAGAGTGGGGGGGGTGTTGCCAGGGATGGGATTTAGTGATTATTCTTACTGCGGCTTTTTGTTGGGTTATTATTGGCTTTAGGTGTGTTGCTGCAGTTGAACCCCAAGCACATATAGCATAGGTGAGGTATGGATATACAGTGGACCCCCGGTTAACGAACTTTTTTCATTCCTGTAGTATGTTCAGGTGCCAGTACTGACCGAATTTTTTCCCATAAGGAATATTGTGAAGTAGATTAGTCCATTTCAGACCCCCAAACATACACGTACAAACGCACTTACATAAATACACTTACATAATTGGTCGCATTTGGAGGTGATCGTTAAGCGGGGGTCCACTGTATAAGTGAATGGTATAGTGTGAGAAGGGCAGTTTGCGGCACGTAGTATCGTATCTTGGAGAGGATCCCAACCGTTTTGGATACTTTTTTGGTTATGTGTTGGATATGGGTGCTGAAGTTCAGGTTGTTGTCGAGGTATAGGCCTAGGAATTTGCCCTCATTATGCCTGGCAATTAGAGTGTTGTTGATCTTAATGTTATTTTGCGCATCTCCTGCTCTGCTACCAAACATAATGTAGTAGGTTTTGTCAGTGTTAAGCGAAAGTTTATTGGCTGTCATCCAAGATGGAAAGATTTATGGAGAAACATCACCCTGACAAGGCTGTTGCAAGCCATGTTGGCAACATGTACAGTGACAAAGTCTTGGGCCATTTTAGGGAAGTGCTAAAGAGACACCAGAAACAGAGCTCTCTCCACAGTTATTTTGCGAGACAGGACTCCAGTGACTCTCAAGCTGGTCCTAGTGGCATTAAGAAACAGAGAAGAGAAGCAATCCCAGAAAAGCAATTGGTACCTGAGGTGTTGATGGAAGGGGATTCCCCTTCTAAACTGTAAATAATCCAATCTCTCTCCTCCTCCAGTCTCCCATACACTAAGAAGAATCTCCAATAAAGGTAAGTGTTATGCTGTTAATGTTTCATTCATCATTTCCCATTGTATTGTTTATGTACTACATCTATATTTCATGTAAAAAATTTTTTTGTTTTAATACTTCTGGGTGTCAGGAACGGATTAATTGTATTTACATTATTTCTTATGGGGAAAATTGATTCGAAAATCGTAGATTTCGATAATAATAGCAACTCCAGGAACGGATTAACTACGAAAAACGAGGGATTACTGTTCTCTGATAATTATACTTATGTGTACCTGTACCTAAATATACTTTCACACTGTACTGGCATGCAGGTACACAATAAAATCACTAAGAATCTGTCTACTTGACGCCATATAATCTCTTGGGCGCATTAAATGTCGTATATTATGTTAATATAGACATTTCCATTAATCCATCTATGATATTTTTTTCAAAATTATATAATAAACATGCTACATAACATATAAACATTATACATACACCCACAGTATAAAAATTGACATAAATATGAGGTTTGTTTACTAAGCATTTGGTAGGAAAGTTGAAGAATTACGTTTTCTCTAGTCAGACACCAGTAACTTAACTAGAAATTTGTTCCTTTCATATGCCTTCACTCTATCTATAGCTATTCACGACCCTTGTGGATTTAGCACTTCTTTTTTATTGTGATTATAATAATAATAACTTGTAATAATAAAAACTTATAATAATAATAACTTGTAATAATAATAAAGACTTGTAATAATAATAATAATTTGTCAGAGCATCTTTCCTTCTAAAAGTTACATGAGAATGGAAGTGTTGGTCTTTATTTATTCTACTGTATCAACATGGAGTTTTCTTCTTTTTCTTTTTAGTAGGCTGTACAGGAAAAGGGGTTACTAGCCCATTGTTCCCGGCATTTTAGTTGACTTTTACGCATGGCTTATGGAGGAAAGATTCTTATTCCACTTTCCCATGGATATAAAAGGAAAAACAATAAGAATAAGAACTATTAAGATAAAATCAAAGAAAACTCAGATGAGTGTGTATATATAAACATGTACATGTATGTGCAGTGTGACCTAAGTGTAAGTAGAAGTAACAAGACATACCTGAAATCTTGCATGTTTATGAGACAGAAAAAAGACACCAACAATCCTACCATCATGTAAAACAATTATAGGCTTTTGTTTTACACTCACTTGGCAGGATGGTAGTACTTTCCTGGGTGGTTGCTGTCTACCAACCTACTACCTTATACAGTGGAACCTTGGCTTATGAATTTAATCTATTCCATAACCTTGTTCGTATTCTGATTTG